GGCACGCCCCCATGTGCTCTGCTTCCTGTCCCACCTGCCCCCCCCCTCGCTTGCTTTTGCCCCCATGCTGCCTCCTGCGCTGCATTTCCATGTCCTTCCCCCTGCTACCCTTTCTGTCATGTTCCCCCTTCTTCTCATTCTCCTGTGCACACTCTGCCTGCTATCCTGGTCCTGCCAGAGCTGCAGCAGCTGCTTGCCTGACCCATACTGGATTCTAATACTAGAGGGTTTTTTTTCCCCCCCATGCTGAATGAGGAGAGACCTCATCTTCTATTTGAGTAAATATGGTAATGGTGGTTGGCCTTGGTGAATAATAATGTGAAGACCTGGAAAAAATCTGTGATGGTGCACTAGCCAAAAGGTACAGATAATACTAACTAATACATATTTAGCAGACGTCTTTAAGCAGATAAGCAAGAATATAAGGCAATACAGTGGCTGTTCTACTCTCTTATGCTGGACTATTTCCTATAGTGCCCAACAGACTGTTATGAGAACAAATTCACTGGAGGAGGAGCTGGAAGAAATGAAAAGTAACCTGAACTCCTTGGAAGAGAAGAGAGACAAACTTCTGAGCCAGAATAAACGGCTTGTAGGTGCTCTTAGAATTCTGTAAAAGTAGCATGCTGTAACACCTGGGGTGAACTGTCTAACATAAAATCAGTGAGTGATGTTCTCTTCATATTGCCACTAGGTCATGTGGCGTTTGAGGGGAAACTATCCTGTACTAACTGCCTCTCTGCTACCTCAGAATTTGGAGTACAGTGCTTGAAGTTTAAGTGTTTTGTTTTTTTCCTTCCTATTTTTGGAGCCTTGTTGCTCATTAGATCATATGAATTAAGAAGTTGCTGAGAAGGGTTGGTTTTGTGACTTAGCACCTAGTGCTGTGTACTAGCAGCATAACCGGGAGTAGAACATAAAAGCTCCAAATTCCTTATGTAACTTTACACAAAATGATCTTCTGCTTGTGCTGATGTAAACTGGAAACTTTTCACTGAAGCCAAGATATTTAAAAAAAAAAAATCCCCAAGGCTTTATTACAACAGTTCATATGAGATTTAATATACAGTTATGGGCCTATCTTTTTTGGCTCCTTGACTCTAATTTGAGAAAAGGCTTACAAGTTCATCAAGGCAGAGCATTAATTTGTAAAAGTAGCTATGGCACCCTAGTCATAGTTCACATGTTTTAAGGAAGTCTTCCCACTAAAATATGGTAGACTGACCTCTTTTTTTGTTGTTTTGTTTTGTGGTGGTGGTGGTGGTGTTGTTGTTGTTTTTTGTTTTTCTTGACAACCAGGAAAAGGAGAATCAGTCTCTCATACTCAAGATTTCTGATCTTCAAGAAGAGGTACAGTGTGTATGAAAGAAATTTTAAAAAAATAATGGTTTTGTTTATGAAAATCTGTGATGTTAGGAGAAGGGTGGAGAAAATGGGTTAAAATACACTGGGAATGATGGTCCACAAGAAATAGTGCACAAACAGAAATAAAGTTGTGTGGAGATGGGAAACTGCTGTTTTGTAGCTTTGAAACTTGTGCAGCAGTTCTTAACCTTTTTAGGCTCGGGATATCACTTGTTAGATTTGAGGCACCCCCTGGAAAATACTAGCTCTTATTTTTCATTTGTTTTTTGACCCTGGAAAAATACTGGAGCAATTCTTCTGTTGCAAAGAACTCATAGATGATGAATGTTTTTAAAACTATAGCTTTCTATTTGCAATGTCTGGGTTTTTTTTATGAATTATGTTTAAACATCAAAGGGCATGTCTACACCAGATCCTTAAATGCACAGCAGTGTGGCTTACTGCGCAGTAAGCATGTGCATCTACACAAGCACATACATTCTATGTAGTAAACCTTGCTAATAGCAACTAAACTTGCTACCTGAAAATACAAATAGCAAATTTACTTTCAATTAGTAATAGTTCAGTAGGACATGTGTAGGTGCCTGACCAGGAGCAAATCTGTTCCCAGTCAGCTGTCTACCAGAGGGCAGGAGATTGCTCCCTGCCCCTGGGAGCTGCCTGCTGCTGGGAGGGGCTCTGCCAGTGAAGCCCAGGCAGGGACTGTGTCCACCTGCCCCAGCAGCAAGTGGCTCAAAGTCCCTCGGTTCCAAAATCACAATTGGGGAGCAGGGGCTAGCAGACCCCTGTCTCCCAACACCAGCTCCATGGTCATGGGGCCAGAGCTGGGAGACCCTGGTGACCGTGGAGCTGGCACTGTGAGCTCCCTGCTGCCAGGAACTGGGGAACCTGTTCCCCGCTGAGCTCTGTGAGCACAGAACTAGGCAGGAAACAGGCTGGGAAGCTTGTTCCCCACCCAGCTGTGCTCTTATGGAGCTGAATGGGGAACAGACTCCCCAGCCTCCGCCGTGTGTGGGGAATGGGGAATGGGAACTGTTCTGGTCAAAGGCAGGTCCCAGCTGTATGCCCCAATCTGCTGGTGAGCTAGCTTCTACCTACCCTACCAGCAGATTGGGGCATGGGGCTGCCCAAACATTGTCCCGCCCTGGCAGCAGGCAGTCCCTGGGGGCAGGGTGTAATGTCCCAGCCCCTGGTCCTCCCTGACCTAGTACCCCAGGGCTAGCCTAGAGCTCCTCCTGGTGGTGGCAGGAGCTCATGGCAGCACCCTAGGAAGTGGAAGCAGATTGCTGCCATTAGCAGCAAATCTGCTCCTGCTTCCCTGCATGTGTAGATGCCTTTCTGGGTGTTTACTTGTAAGTAGTCTACTCCATGAGTAAACTGATCCCAGATCAAATGCATATGTAGATTTGCCTAAATAGTGCTAACATATACTAAGGCACCCACAACACCCTGATTCAGAATCAATGTCTTAGTGTAATTGTCTTGTACATGTCTCCAGATGGTCAACAGAACCTCCCAAACATCACAATTCTTCTAGTTTATGAGTCATTCTCACACCTCCAAGAATAGCTTTCATGTTGAAGGCTTTCCTCTAATGTTTCAGAACCTAGAAACTTCTCCGGATTGTACCATTTCAGTTTTGGGAGCTGCTGAGTGGGGAGGGACCAGAGGACAAAGAGGAGAGGTACTAAAATCCTAAGAGCATTGAATGGGGCAAGCTCATGGTGTGCTTCCTTCACTAATGAAAAGTCTCTAGGGGCCTATAGGCATAAAATGGCACCACTAAAAGTAAATTCTCCCCTATTGTAGGGTCTATAGTAGCTGACTTTTTATTTTTAAAAGACATAAGTATATTTGGGGGTGGAGGGAGGAAGGCAGGGTTTGCATGTATATGGAATTATTTAGAGGAGTGAATCAAAAAGCTATGGCTTTAGAGGAGGAGATCTTATTCCTTGTGTTTTTGTTTAGCTCCTCCACACTGACACAATAACTCTCCTGAGCTAGTTATAATAACTATCTGCTTTTTTTATTAGAATACTAGGAATGCTTTGGATGCTGATGGCCTTCAGAAAAAGATTCTGGAGTTGGCCAAGAATGCATCTGAGCTCCAAGTAAGTGTATCTTTACTTTTACCTTCATGACTGCTGGTCAAACAGGCTTCAAAAAAGAGTTGGTTTCCTCTGGTCTAATAGCTGACTGTCCAGAAGCCATACAGGTTTGTTTTTTTTTGTTTCCCACCCCCCCAGCCTGTCTGTCTATAGTACAGATCTGATGAGTCACAAGTATAGATGCTTCTGTCAAGCTGTTCTAACTCGTATAAACATCAGTGGCTTCCCTTCCTCCTTCCTCCCACCCCAAACTCTTAACATCCTTGCACTTTTTTTTTTCTAAATGTTCAATCGTGGCCACCAATAAGTCTGTGGGAATGGCCAGTCCTTCCAAAGCTTATTTGAACTGCACATCCAGTCAAATATTTGTGAGAAAAGAATGAGCATGGGGTACAGTAAACACACTGGAGGGCAGGGATTGAAGCCAGGCAAATTTGGATAGATTGGGAAGTGGGTGGATCAGAATCGGATGCAATTTAACAAGGATAAGTTCAAGATGCTGCAGCTGGGGGGAGAGAATCTCCAATACACTTATAGACTGGAAAGTAACATTCTGAGTAGTACAGCAGTGGAAAGGAATCCGAGTCTTGGCTGATGCAAAAATGAACATGAGTTGCCACTGTGATGAGGTAATAAGTAAAGCTAACTACAATTTCTTGCATCAGTAGGTGCATCACAAGCAGGTCTAGGGAGGTAATGCTTCCCCTCTGTGGCATTGGTCAAGGCGCAGCTGGAGTACTGCATCCAGTTTTGGGTGCCGCTCTTCAAGAGGGATGTGGATAATCTTGAGAGGGTTCAGAGAAAGGCTGCTTGCATAGTTGAGGGCCTGCAGGTAAGATCCTATAAACACAGGCGGAGGGACCTGAATCTCTTCAGCCTCTGCAAGAGAAAGATGAGGCGCGATCTTGTGGCTGTCTACAAACTCATTATGGAGTCTGCAGGGAAAGGGGATACTCTGTTTACCAGGGTGCCCCTAGGGGTTACTAGAAATAACTGCTGCAAACTAAAGGAGAGTAGATTTTTAGACTGGACATCAGGAAGAAATTCTTTATGGTGAGGGTTGCCAAAATATGGAATGGGCTTCCAAGGGAGGTGGTGCTTTCCCCTACCTTGGAGGCATTCAAGAAAAGACTAGATGGGCACCTAGCTGGGGTTATTTAACCCCAGCACTCATTCCTGCCTAGAGCAGGGGCTCGGACTCTTCCTTCCCAGAGTAGGGGTCAGACTCTATCTACAAGGTCCCTTCCAACCCTAGAAATCTGAGTCATTTAATTTCTAATGCTTATTGCAACTAAAGACCCAAAATGAATATTGATAACCCATGGCTTTTGCCACATGGCCTTTTTAGACTGAAGGACTGATAATAGTCCAGGAAGACCTACAAGGATATCGGGCAAAATTTTATCCACAAGTGATTTTTTTTCAGTGTCATTTGTGGCACACTAGGAAGAATCAAATTAATGACGCTCATCTCTGAAGCTTGTAATTGATATTTCCAAACAAGAAATAGAGCTAAAGAGAACCAGACTGTCATAGTGCACTTAATTCTGCTGGCCCATGAGGCTGCTTAAATATTTTCCTCTCTTTAGATGAAAATACATGTTTATGAGACTACTGTGGTGAATAAAGATGCAAGTCTTCTCCAGGTTGGTTGCTTTTGAAACCTAACGTTACAGATTGAAACTTTTTTAATATGGTGCTCAATGTATGGGGAAAAGCCAATGAAATGAGTCTTCTGGTAACACTCTTGATGGTAATATTGCATAAAAATATTAACTTTACCCCATAAATGTTCCCTGTGAATGGAACGGGACACCGCTGCCCAAAATTTAGGGGTAGAGATCTGGCTCTGGATAAGTAGACCCTGTCCCTGTGCAACAAAAACTGCAGGCTCCAGGAAAAGTGGAAAAACTTCAGAAGCCATTTTCTGAAACAGATGGAAAGCATGGACATGGATAACACTTAGGTTTTTCTGGGAGAGGGGAGGGAGATATTTTTAATTTTAAAAAAACAAACACAAAAAACAAAGAAACAACAACAACAAAAACTTTTGTGTACTGTTCCTTATTGTTTGAAACCTGGCAAGTTGGTCCTTAGCCCCAAAAAAGCAGAAGAAAATATATTCTATTCTGGGCAATCTTTCAGACAGTCCATGCTCTAGTTTATAGTTGTATTTGTAAAATGAGGTACAAGGAAAGCAAAATAACTATATAAGGCTTTCAGGGTCTCTCTTGGATTCTTAATTCAAGTGAACATGCTTTCCCATCTTGATAAGGAGTCTACTGAAAAGAGAGCTGCTATCTTTTTTTTTTTTTTTTTTTTTTTTTTTTTTTTTTTTTTTTTTTTTTTTTTTTTTTTTTTTTTTTTTTTTTTTTTTTTTTTTTTTTTTTTTTTTTTTTTTTTTTTTTTTTTTTTTTTTTTTTTTTTTTTTTTTTTTTTTTTTTTTTTTTTTTTTTTTTTTTTTTTTTTTTTTTTTTTTTTTTTTTTTTTTTTTTTTTTTTTTTTTTTTTTTTTTTTTTTTTTTTTTTTTTTTTTTTTTTTTTTTTTTTTTTTTTTTTTTTTTTTTTTTTTTTTTTTTTTTTTTTTTTTTTTTTTTTTTTTTTTTTTTTTTTTTTTTTTTTTTTTTTTTTTTTTTTTTTTTTTTTTTTTTTTTTTTTTTTTTTTTTTTTTTTTTTTTTTTTTTTTTTTTTTTTTTTTTTTTTTTTTTTTTTTTTTTTTTTTTTTTTTTTTTTTTTTTTTTTTTTTTTTTTTTTTTTTTTTTTTTTTTTTTTTTTTTTTTTTTTTTTTTTTTTTTTTTTTTTTTTTTTTTTTTTTTTTTTTTTTTTTTTTTTTTTTTTTTTTTTTTTTTTTTTTTTTTTTTTTTTTTTTTTTTTTTTTTTTTTTTTTTTTTTTTTTTTTTTTTTTTTTTTTTTTTTTTTTTTTTTTTTTTTTTTTTTTTTTTTTTTTTTTTTTTTTTTTTTTTTTTTTTTTTTTTTTTTTTTTTTTTTTTTTTTTTTTTTTTTTTTTTTTTTTTTTTTTTTTTTTTTTTTTTTTTTTTTTTTTTTTTTTTTTTTTTTTTTTTTTTTTTTTTTTTTTTTTTTTTTTTTTTTTTTTTTTTTTTTCTGACTCGGCTCATAAAGTTATTGAGCACCAAACTTCTGTCAAGGGCATACACTTACACTTACTCTCTGGATATGACCAGTTATGCTAGATACAGGCGTTTTGGGGAGATTTAGATTACATTAAAAATGGCCACCCGACCCAACGTAGTCTGCCCACCTTGCACTTTAAATTAATCTCTAACTAGGGCTGTGTGTAGACAAGAGGCATGTGCGCACAGTACCCCAAAGCAGGCTAAATGCTTTTGCACCGCCTTAGTGGTGTTAGTGTTTGAATGCCTCAGTGGCGTATTGCACATTAATTCCAGCTGCTGTAGGAAATTTGGTGGCATAGTGCACATTAAATGACTGGGGCACAGCAAACTAAAATTCCTTTGAGGAGTTTGTTTGCTGTCTGTGGAGTAAAGCACCCGGCTCCATGCAGCTTGGGGGCTCTGCAGGAAGCCCTGCAGGCAGCAGCCTGGGAAAGCAGGCTTCACCCAAGGAAAATGGCAGGCCTGATCCTTCCCACCTCCCCTGCCTGCCTGAGCTGTGCAGGGGCCTGGTGCTTCCCTTCGCAGCTGTGGTGCCTGCCTCCCCCCTGAGCTGGGTGCCTGCAGCTTGTTGAACTTGTTAATCATTGGGTTCTGTGCCACCAACTCTACCTCTTCCAACCCCAATCCTTTGCAGAAAGATTTGGACATCAAAGATCTTAAATCTGCCATTGTGGAATACACGTCAATAATAGAGGTATGATAACAAATCTCCCTTGTGCAAGGGTGAAAGAACAGTTTTTTTTAATGTTGTTGTTGTTGTTATATATAGCAACTAACTTGTTCATTTAAAAAAAATGTAATTCTAGACTTTACGAGCAGAAAAAAATAAACTGGTGTATAGCATGCAACAAATGCAACAAGAGCTGATTTCGTGAGTATCTTGTAGAAGTTTTTAAGAGGGTTTTTTCATCAAAAAATAGTTTGTCTAGCTCCTCTTATTAATACAAAATTTTGCTCCTCTTTTTTTATTTTAGAAATGGCATACACTTCCAACTAATATGCAAATATAACAGGAACCTTCTTGAAGGGACATATTCCTTGCACTCTGAGTTAGAACTTGCTCAGTCTCCAGAGGTATGCAATTGAAGTCTGAACCAATCTGCTGCAGAGAGAAAATTCATTACTAGTTGAGGAGAAATTGTTGTTTCTTCTATGGAGAAGACACTGAAGCCATGGAAAAATAATTGCCCGGGTAGCTTTTTAAAAATCTAATGGAGAGAATGCAAGGATTTCCTCTGCAGAAGTTTACATACGTACCTCATTCTAATGAGTTGCTAGAGAATTTCCTGACACAAGGAAAAATTTTAAGTAGTGTAGCCAGTCACGAAGTCCTACTCAAAGCACTGCAAAATAAAGGGCTTCTCTTCATTCTGACTTCATGTTGCTTTCTCTGGGTCAAGACAAGTAACAGCTTATCCACTATTGCTATTTGATATCAGGGTAGGACACAGAAATCTACCACAATCGGATCATTCAACAGCTTGGTTTGCCCCATGGCATGATGCACTTTAAAATTCAAATTCCCAGTTGCTTTGACATGATGGGAAATGCAACCTAGGGGTGCTTTTGTAAGTTCTAAAGGCTACTGGTTATGGGGTCTGCATTCTTCAAAAAAGACCAGAATAACCTTAATGGGCTTTTTTAATAAAGATCACCAGGTTTGAATGGACACCTTTGGATGAATCGCTGGACCGAGAGGTACTATTGTTACTGCAAGGGCCTGAGATAATGAGAGAAGAATTTAAGGCTACTATCAAAAAACTGGTATGTGCTTTAACTTAAGTGAATAGAAAGAGATGTATTGAATCTCTTAGCCAAGAGCCTTTCTAAAATGGCTACAGCCAAAGCAGCACTTCCTCCCTTTTAAAATCTGAACAGCTAATCTCAGGAGCATGTTTATTCCTTTAACCCCGTTGTTTGATTCTGTGTAGCATCACTTTCAAGCTTATATCAGAACTAATATTTGAAACTGTTCTTGCAGCAGGAGGAAGCCTCTGAAACTGAGGAACTTGTGGTGACTTCTTTTCAGTGGGTACCGGATCCTGAGGTGAACATAAAGGAGACCTGGGGGAGAGAGCTTGTGGTAAGTGACCTTGGTTTTAGCGGGGGGAGGACCTTGTTTTTAAAGCCATGGTTTCCTTGAAATGGGCAAGAAATCTTAGGGTGGGTATTTTGAGTTGTCAGTGATGTCTTAAGGACAGAATTGATAACATTATGGGGGTTTTCCAATATAAAATGGGAGTAGCTTTGGTGTGCATATTCTTTTTGGCTTAGGCCTGTTTTGTCCCTCACTATATAAGGACCTAGATGTCACTTCCTTTTAACCCTTGCTCCAAACACTGTTTTTAAATCTTTGTCCTACTGTGGTGAAACTTCTTGCCTGTAAACTACTTCCTAACTCATCAGTGAGCGGCACAACTCCTGCTGAATATACCACTGTAGTTTAATGTAGGCCTTGCAGTTTGTGTGTAGCTTATACTAAGAAAATTGCTTGCTGTTGACAATGGTATAGGTATACTAGAGCTGTAGTTCCTGTTGTATAACAACAATAAACCATTGGTAAAAACTTGTACAATAGGTAACATTTTTTAGTATTAACGAGGTGTAAGAGATGGCAGCAATATAATAATATTATTAAATGGTAATGACTTCTAACTTGTATCTATACATGCAGTGGTAGAGCAAGTACCCTGGTATTTCTTGCTTTCTGCTGGTAGCATGTAGTAGGGCAGGCATGGCCAGCCTACAGCAGTTCTACTTGGCTCAAGCACTGCAGGCATAGCTGGGAAGAAGATGCAACTTTCTCAGTCTAAGCTGGGGCCCTACAGCTCAGCATTTTTCAAAGATCCAGAGACACCAGTCTCTTCCCAGAGTTCAAATGTGAGCTGGATGCTCAAAGAGTATAAAATTAGCAACTCTGTGGCTTGAACGAACACACACACACACGTTAATTCAGGGTGATTTCAAAGCAACACAACTTCAGCTGTTTGCCTATGTAAACTGGCGTCATTAGTCGTCAGCCACAAACTTTTAACGTGAGTGGAATTGCAGGGCAAACAATAGCTTTAAAAAGTGTTCAGGTATTGCCAGGCCTGGCATTCTGCCAACTGTTACTCTGCAGTACATTTTCACTGCTTGTTCTGAGAGAGAAATATTGCAGCCAGCTAGAAGACCCTGCTATGTTGACCACGCAAGTCACAGAAAATAAACAATAGCATAGTGAAATGTGTACTTTTTTTGTGCATAAATTCATATGAATTGTACCTCATGCTTCAATTTCTGTAACCTAAATTTATCATCTTTTTTATTTTTAACATGCAGCTTCCCTCTTTGTCCATCTTATCACAAGACTTGCATTAAAAATCCATAAATATGTTTGCAGAATGCTGCATGACTACCTATTCTAAAATATCTGGAAGTTGTGTATTAATCAGTCTTTAGGGCCAATGAAAAATTCTGAAAAACACTTATAATTAAATTTTTGTAACAACATTTCAACAAAATAAGCATTTAATTTGAATTGGTGTGTTTTTTGTCTTCCAAAATAAATTTAGTGGCATGGGATTTTCTCTTCCCTGCACACATTCCAGTGGCAAAAAAAAATGCAATAGGGATGCATGTGTATTTGTAATAGGTCAAATATCCTCATTCAAAACACATCTTCATGTCTGTTGAAGACTTTGAAAGAAACCTTTTTCATTTCCTCTGAAAAGCAATTTTATGAACTTGGTTAGCTCTTCTGAACATGCTGTTTTACCTGGTCCTAATCTCTTTTTTTTTTTTTTTTTTTCTCTTTCCTTTTAGAATTTGAGAGTAGAATTAAATATTGATGTTCTATGAATTCCATCCTTGTCAGCTTGTTGGTAGTCTATTGACTATAGTCTTTACAGAACCCTAGCTTGTCAGAGAAGTCAACTTTTTATGTTTAACTCCTGCATCTCGAATGATACTTTAATTTTGAAAAAAATCATAGGTTCTTAAGCAAAAGCTAGAAGAAAGGAGAAAGCTCTGGTGTCAAAAACTTGATCTCTTGAAAAAATGCACAGAATCCCTGGATAAAAAGTTTATTGAAATGTCAGGAAATTTGAGGAGAACAAGAACACAGCAATTTCATTTAAGGAAAGAACTGGCTTCAAGGTACCTGTTTCTTTTCTCTCCTTTCCCTCCCTCCTCCTCTCTCTCCCCCCCCCCCCCCCACGACAAACAACCCCCCCCCCCCCCCCAGGTAAAAAAGATACTTGATGAATGTTAATGTTTTCAGAAAATAAATGGCACACTCTTCTGATCAGTTATTTAGTGCATTCTACTTGAGTTGGAATCTCTATACAATAAGGAGACCAATTTCTGGCAGCGCTTTAAAACCAGACCACAGAACAAAATGTAAAGAAACAAGCTGCACATTTCACAGGTGCAACCACTAAACAAGCAGTTGTTTTGTCTGCAAAGTAGAAAAAATGAAAACATTCTTATTGGTATAAGAATCAGTTTCCAGATAAAACCTGATTGGCTGAGAATGACACCTTGTCTTCTTTCCTCAATGGTTAGGAAAGACTTGAGCTCCCTGAATGAGTTATTTTTTGGAGAAGCAGGACTGTCTAATAGGAAACTTTTCCTTAACTGGATGTATTTGCAATATATTCATGGTTTCTGAGGAATAAATACAGAATTAAAAGGTATGTAGATGGAATTATTAGATTGGGTTTACAGGCAGCTATGGAAAGTTCTGACCAAAGAGTTTGAGTGAACTCCTTTTGTTTTATACAGGGTGCATCTACACATGCCCCTGACTGCACAGTTTGTACTGCACAGTCATTTAGTACTTGCTAAAGCAAGTACTAAATGACTGTGCAGCACCCACTGGCAGGTCTCAGCAGCTGCACAATCCTGGTGGCACATGAGTCGCTTTCAACCCTACTGCATAGTAGTGGTGGTGTCACGGTTAGTGCCTGCTGATGCTACATCTCTGTAGCTCATTGCTGTGGCAACAGTGTTTCATGTGGGCATGCCCACATCTGTATTTTGACTATGTAGCACTACCAACTCCTGCCACAGCCTACATCTTTACAATATGCTCCTCATTGTGCACTTTCCTGTCAAAATACGGGCTAAGCCCAGGGATGGATCCAGGATATGGCAAAGTGGGGTATGGGAGAAGCCACTTTCACTGAATCCTCCTTCCTCCCTTGCCCTGCAACCAGTGTGGACAGACCATACTGCTGGAGCCTCTGGAGACTTTCATAGGCCATGAAGCATGTAAAATGGCTTCCTCTTCCATGCTCAAAGGTCCACCTCCTCTCCCTCTTCTCCGAGCTGTGGCTGCTGCCGCTTTCCATTCTGTTCCAGGGGAGGGGAGAAGCTTCAAAGCCACTCTTGCCTGCTCCAGTCAGGTTGCATAGAGACTGGATCAGGGTGTGCCTTTGACCATGGAGGAGAAGGGAGGATTCTTATGTACTTTTGGGACTTCTTAAAAAAAAAAAAAAAAAAAAGGCCCCAGAAACTACTGTCATTTAGTGCAGTTGAAAAGAGAGGTGAAGCTATACGACTGAACCGCCTCTGGATTTACTTCTTTCTATGCCACCTAGATCAGCTCCTCCAGAGTTGTCTACTGGCACTAAGCAGGGGTGGTGTCTTGGCTTGCTCACTTCCCACCATTTACTCTAGCTATGTCAGTAGAACTAATCTTGGTCACCTGCTCCTGATGTTACTGTCTCCTCCTAGCCCCAGCTGGGGGTACTTTTTGGTAAAATGCGGGGAGGTAGACCTTCATAAACATTTGTGATTTGCTGCCATCACTGAAGCTGTGATGGTGAGGAGACAAAAGTAGCTGCATCTAGACTACTTTTGCATTGCAAAAGAGGTGGACAAAAAAGTCCAGTCTTTAGGGATTAGTGTGCCTCCACCATCTTTAGCACAAAATCATAGAAAACTAAAGTTGGAAGGGATTGCAGGAGGTCATCTAGCCTAACCCCCTGCTCAAATCAGGAATG